GACTATTAATTTCCTCATCTATAAAATGGGTATAATTCCTACCTAGAAGAATTGCAGTGAAGATTGAAGAGAGAATATGTATAAGGTAACTAGCCAAGGTGGTGCTAGTGGCAAAGAATCCACCTACCAACGCAGGAGACACAAGAGCTGGGTTCAGGTCAGGAAGGTCCCCTGGAACATGAAACGGCAACCTGCTCTAGGATTCCTGCCTGTCAAATGCCATGAACAAAGGAGCCTGGTGGGCTACAGCCCACGGGGCTGCAAAGTCGGCATGGACGGAGCACACACACTCACAACCAGACAATAGCATGTGCTCAACAAAAAGTAGGTCTTTCCCCCTTAATTGCAGCATTAGGTTTTGGAAACAGAAAATAGTTCTTGAATATGACTGTGAATCCAGGAGAGAATTGCATCAGGATAAGAAATGTGCCTAGATTAGCATTTGGGAGGAGACATATTATGGGGTAAAAAAGTCAGTTTTAGGGTCAGACATGCCATGTACTAGCTATGCGAGACCTTCAGCCAGTGTCTTCACCTTCCTGAAACTTAGCACTGTCACAGGTATAAAATGCAGGTATCTACTTCACTGAGCATTCTGAGGATGAAATAAAAGTGTAGGCAATGTGCCCCCAGGTCTGACACACAGCAAATGCTCAGAAAAATAATGGTGACATGATCACACTAGTATGAAGCACCATTTTTGAACACTCATACAATGGCAGGCAAGCAGCTGAATTTGGACATTTCTTCACAGTGTAGCATGCAGACCACTTCCTCACAATGTACTTAAAAAAATTTTTTTTTAAAATTTGGCTGCACCAGGTCTTAGTTGCAGCACGTGGGATCTTAGATCTTTAGTTGTGGCATGTGAACTCTTAGTTGCTGCATGTGGCGTCTAGTGCCCTGACCAGGGATCAACCCCAGGCCCCCTGCTTTGGGAACGCAGAGTCTTAACCACTGGACTACCAGGGATGTCCCACGATGTACTTTTAAAGGATGCAGATTCCTGCTGATTCTGGCCTTCAGGGGGTGCAGCCCAGGCATGCATACTTTGGCAAGCTCCCTGACTAATCTTCTGGTCACCAAAATTTGAGAACCGGTGACTGGGAGGCATGGGGGTTGCAAGATGATGAGGTGTCACACCTGGAGCAGATGGACATGAACTAGAGAAGGAATGGGAGAAGAGTGGTCCCTCAACATGAGTTTTGGACCCCCAAGTTCACCATGACCCCCTGGAGTGTTTGCAGGTGTGGGTGAGCGGGCTCGTGCTTGGCATGGCATTCCTGCGACAGGAGAGGAGGACTGGTGAGTGTGCCAGTGCCAAGGCAGACCAGAAGGAGTGGAATGGGTAAGAGACCCCCAAGAGACAAAGTCATAACTCCTGACCAGTTCCCATCCCAAGCCATGAGGCTCTGGGGCCGCTGCGCGCCTGCCCTGGGAAGCCATGCCACGTTCATCACCAATTGTACTCTTGTGACTAAGCGCTCCTGGTTTGGGAGATTTGGGAGAAAATGCTTCTTGTTGGGGAGGCAGGGGGTGGAGGGGGGAGGGGAAGGAATAGGGGGTAAACCACATAATGACTTTTCTTATGGGAACAGAGTTTACTATATGAACGAAGATGATTCTTAAATAAGATGCACCAGAAGATCACTGCTTTAGACTGTTTCCTCCAAGGCGGGATGAATATTGTATATAAATGCTCCCTCTTGAAGTTCTTCTGTGCAGGGACTCTGCTTGGTTCTATTGTTCTGTTCCTAGGAAGGTGGGTGGTTGTGTCCTTTTGTTTAAAGATTCACCTGGGACCAAGAAGGCTCCACACTGGTGGTTGGCTTTTTCTTAGCTCAGCCCTTGGGAAAGCCTTAAAACATCAGGCAGTGCTCTCCGCCTCCCAGGAGCAAGGAGCTTGGGCAGTCCCAACCCTGACTACACCCACCACCTCCCTGCCCATCAGCAGGCAATGCCAGAGAGAGGTCCAAACTCCCCGGACACATAAAGTTTTCCATCTTTATACACCAGGCCAAGATGGAGGAAACACCCAGCAAATACAAAGAAGTTTTCTCTTGGTTTCTGAATGCTGCAGTTAAAAGAATCAAAGTGCACAAGAGCCCAGAGAGAAGTCATCCCTATTTCTGTGCAATGCCCAAACAGAGCTCACACAGGCTCCTGTTTTTTGATCTTCGAATCCAGGCCAAGATGTGAGGGCACAAAGCTACTCACCCTTTCTTCAGCCAAATAAAATCCATAGACACATCTTCACAATGAAGCTTGAAACCAGTCAAGCACTCTTTTTTATTAAAAAAAAAAAAGAAAGGAAAAAGTCTAATGGTAAAGTATATAGTTTATACATGCTACAGCTAATTCATTGTTCCTCACCCCTCCCCCTCACATTATATATGCTCACGTATTTTTTTGTGTGTTGCCACGGGTACGAGGAGTGCTGAGATACCCAGAGACCTCCAGCGTCATCCTGGGAGCAGATACCAGGCGGTGGACAATGTTGTCAGTGCCCACTGCTCCTGAAGGCATGCCAGAAACGGCCTAGTTACTTGGTGGCTTCCTGAAGCAGGAAATGTGGGCTGTAGCCAAGGTGACCATTGTGTCATCACCCCTTGAGAATGAAGGGGGTGCGGCTATTAACAATTTCTTGGGCACAATGGCATAGACAGGCACACTGGGATAAAATATGGACACCTTTAGTTGTGTTAGAATTGCTTATTGCTGTAATAAGCCTGGTGGGGGCACCTCCTTCCGTATGTTTATAGAAGACCCGAGAGCGAAGGATGCTGGCTGTGGCACTGGGTTTGGTCTCTTCAAAGACAGCAGAAGTTGAGTCCCTTGTCCCTGACTGGAGCCAAAAAGGCTGACTTTGGAGTAGAGGATAGATAAAAATGGGAGAGAAGGTAGGATGCTGAGACACAATGGGTGGCTTGAGAACTTGGCAAGGTGGTACCAGAAAGCAGACACTGCCCCCACGGGGCTGGATGGTACAATCTGGGTTTGGACCACCCTGGAGCCCATTGGATTTAACCCTGCAACTCCACAGCTCCGTGATCTTCACGGGCTGAGGCGCATCGGATGTGAGAACCTTAGCCAAGGCAGGAGCACTTCCTCCAGGCCAAGGGAGGGCTCTCTGCCCCCTCAGGCCTCAGTGCCAGCCAGTCTCCTCCTCTTTCAGGCCCCACGGTCTGACGACAGGTCATCTTTGGTCTATGGTATATATGGCTGTTTGCAGCAGAAGCCCTGAAGGATGGGCCTGGACAATCAAGGAGGGGACAAGACTGCCACACGTGACTCAGGCTGTTTTGTGTCCAATGTCACAGCCCAAAGTGAAGGGCAAGACCTCCCAGAGAGAAGCCTGAGACTCGGAAACAGAGGATGGGAGCTGAGCCGAGCCACGCACACTCCTGTTCTTGATGATGCTGACTTGGCAGCTACTTGAGGGCAGGAGCCATTTCTTCTCCATCCCACTCAGAACAAACTGAGTAAATACTAGAATGTCCCATCTCTCAGCCTAAGCACAGGGCCTTCCAAACTTTGGGGGAGATTTTGCATTGGTCCTTTAATGTGGCAAGTTTGTTTTCCTACATTCTACTTGATGAGGAAATCCCCAGTGGGCCCAGAAATGTTTTAAGGCCAGGAATTTGGCCTAAGAAACCAATCACAGGGAGAGGCTTTGTGGAGGACGCATAACACACCTACTGGAAGCCTGGCAGGGCTCCAGCGAGGCTCTGGTAGCGCAAGGCATTAAAAGTGCTTTGAGCTGCAGCCCAGCTCTCCCCAAGTCTCATCCTGAGACCAGGACATAAATCCATCAAATGGCAAATATATTCAGAGTAAAAAACTTGAGCAAAGGCTTATTTTATCAAGCAGTGGTCCTAAAACTCTGTTTTTCCCAAAGATCTGGCACTACCACGAGCTGTAGTTTTGCCCTAGGACAGAAGATAAAAGAGCCATCCCAAGGATGCCTGCCTTTTTTGGACTGGCATTTGGCCTGTGACCTACTGACATGTGTGACTGTGGGGCCGGGGAGGAAAAATCTAAATTAAGAAGGAGGGTCACTGCTTTCCTGAAAGCACCGTCATTTCACTGCTGATGGCAGAGGAAAGGTCATGGGCCCTGGGGAGAAAAACTCCCAGATTCAAGTCTTGGCTTGGTCACTGTTTGGATGATGCTGGGCACGTGACTTCATCCTCTGAACCCCAATGTTCTCATTGCAGATTGGGGCTGATCCTATGCACCTCACAGGGTTGAAGTGAGGAGGAAGTTAAAGGAGGGAGTGTTGAGGCACCGGTAACCTGCCCGGTGCTCGGCACGGCAGATACTTCCATGACCCCACGCCATTCCTATGACAGGTGCCATGGTGGCGACTCCAGGTCCAGAAAGTTTGCATTTGTTCCATCAAAGGCTCACAGAATGGTGGCTACAGTCCTGGATGGTGTAAACCTAAGTCTCCAGGTGAGGACAGTGAGGGACAGCTCCTGGCCACCGGGACCTGTGGCTGCCTGGGAAAGGGCCATCACTGTTGATAGGAAGAGTGGAGAGACGAGACTCAGGCTGCAGAGGCATCCTCAAGAAAGAATGGTGAACAGAGAGAAGCGTGGCTTTAGTACCTTCAGTTCATGTCAGAATAATAATAAGAGGCGAATTCTTTCAAGTGCAGGGAAAACTTTCTGCCCTGGGAAAGGGAGAAGCTGTCCTTCCCGCCTAGCTGACCCCTGGGAGGAGGAGATGAGGTCAAAGACAAACCCCTTCAGTGGAATCTGCACCCAGGAGCCCAAGCTCTTCACAGCCAGGCATGGAGCCACCCACGGCCTGGTTTATACTCAGCGCCTGGCACATAGTAGGCACTCACAAAATAGTAGAAAACTTTCATGAAGGCAGAGAAAGAATTGGGGAAAAAAAATTTGAGAGTTCTGTCTTTTGAAAGGTAGTCAAATCCTACATAACAGCTTCACAAATGGTGTTTAGACCAACGTGGGTCAAAAACTCAGGGAAACATGCTACAGGGCCTCCCCCCAAATGAGGGGACCTTGGAGGTGGGCGGCCCTCTCCCGTTCTGCCTCCTGCCCCTGGCTGCTACTGACCCCCCTAGAGTTCTGGGCACAGGGCCAAGGGCCAAGGGGGTGCTGCAAGGGAAGCTTGGAGCCCTGTCCCAGACTCTGGGGTGGGGGATGTACGGACCTGCTGAAGGAAGGGGTAAAGATGCTCCTGTGGATCAGGGGAGGCTCCTTCTCCTGCAGCAGCATCCACAGCCCACGTGGCAGTGAGGCGGGGGCTGGGGGGGCGGGAGTCGGGGGAGGGCGGAAGGGGACTGTTTGCACATCAGTCTTCGGCACTGCGAGCAGCCCCCCAGGAAGCCACAAGAACACAGCAGCAGATGACGACTCTGAGTCAGAGTCTCTGGGGCAGGACGGGGCTACTACTTGTCCTGCAGAGTAGGGGGGACAGGGCGGGTGCTGCCCTCTCACGTCGTTTCCCAGCCCCACCCCAGCCCAGGCAACCTGGGCCACAGGCTGCGGGCTAGGAGCCAGAAACCCTGGGTCCTGATTCTTGTTCCGTACTGTAGCTGTGCCTCTATGTGCCTCAGTGAGCCACATCAGCCAAATGGGTGCAAGGGCTGCCCTGGGTTCTTTCCCATGAGACCACAGAGAGGGAGAGTGCATGGAAAGAAAAGAAAAGAAAGAAAACTACTCTTCAAGGACCAGAGAGCAGCAGGAAGCAGCAGGAGAGACAGAGGTTCTGCCTGGACCCTGGGCCCCCTCCGGGGCTACTGCTTAACTCTGCTGTCTGCTGGAGATCCAGCCGCTGGCCCTTGAGCCACGGGGGCCCCTTGGGACTGGCATGTGAGACCACCTTGGCTCCCCTTGCTTCATATGCTCTATCCCCTGGGGGGCACCAGTACAAAAGCAGGGAGCAGGGCTCTGTGGCAACACCAGGGTGCTGGGCAGCCCCTGGGTGGTGTGGGGGTGCAGGGCAGCCTTCAGCAGATGCCACAAGGGGTTGGAGGGGTGGTGGGAGCGGGAGCAGCCACGTCGCCCCCTGACGCACAGCTCCGCCGCCCGGTCGGCTGTCACAGGGCACAGGCATGGAAGTCAGGCCAGCCTAGACTCACACCCCCTTCCCTCCTCTTCCCAGCTACTGTGCCCTGGGGCACACTGAACCCCAGTGTCCTCATCTATAAAACAGGTACACTGGGTCAGAGAGGGCTATTGTGAGGGCTCCACATGACGGGAAAGCGCCACGTACAGCGTTTGGCAACAATTAGCTACTCAGCAAAGAGGAGTTCCCAAGGCGCGTGGCCTGTGAAGGGTTCCCTTTCTCAAACAAACTTTGAGATTCTTGTACTAGGGAGGCAGAAGTGAAAGGCCCCCCCCAAAAGCAGACTGGGGACCCTTGTTTAAATGCCTTGGGTTGGACCAGAGTCTGCAGCAGAAAAGTGAAGCATGCTTGGAGCTGGCAGCACTCCTCTAGAACTGATCAGGGTCCCACCACAGAAGGGAGAACGGCTGGGCGGGCCTCCAGGCCCCATGCCTGGGGCAGCTGCAGCTGCTTGAACCTGAGAGACCCAGGGACCTGAGGCCTTGGGGAAGAGGACAACTCCCTGGGACCAGCAGTGGAGCCGACTTCTACAAGAAAGTTCTTTCTGGGACCAGGCATTTGGGAGGCGAGTGAATCAAGTCGCTGGACATGAATGAACTGGGTAGGAAGCTGGGGACATTCTCAGGACTCTGATCTGAGCAACAAGAAACCCTTTCTGCAGTTTCTCCAGATGATGGGTTCTGGTCCCAGAAGCCTCAGAGAGTCAGGGTCCCACTGCTGGGTGGGCAAGGAGCCGCTGGGCGGCAATGCCACTGGCCTTAAGGCAGGGATGTTGAGAGAAAGGGGTGTGGCCTCGGAGCCTCCAGGGGATGCTGTGACGGGAGGGATCACTCTCCACCCAGGAAAGAAACCACAGTATTCCAGTCTTCCTTCCTTTGATGCTGCGTGGAGGATGATAAATTAAGAGGCATATTAAATATGTGGGTAAAGCCAGCAGGGACGTGCAAGACCTCCAGGCATGAGAGGAGGCGGCTAGGGCTTCTTTCTGAGATAATTGGAAGGAATCCACCCTTCCCAGGATGGGGCCCCGCTCTGGACCTGGCAGAACCACCAGCCGCTGCTGTTCTTTTCCCGGACCTCGAACACCGTCCCCTCCTGGAAGCCGCTGGTATCTTGGTCGCCTTCAAAGTTGGCCACGGCCACATACAAGTCTTTTGGGCCGTCGGTGTTGGGGAAGGGGCCTGCAGCCACTTTCTCCTTGTTTTCTCCCGTCTTGCCCATCATCCGCGGCCCTGGCCCACCTTTGCCTCGCATGTCATCCTGGCCCCCTGAGGAGTTGGAGAGAAAAGGTTTGGCTTTCGGAGGGACAAGCAGGGCCCGGCCTGGGGCAGGAGCTGCCTTGCCTTCACTGCTCTCCCGCTGTGGCCCTCTGACGTCTGGAAGGGGCCCTCTGGCGTCTGGAGGTGGACCTCTGACTTCTGGAAGGGGCCTAGACGATGAGGAGGTTTTCTTGGGGGGTGGTGGTCTCCGAGGCGGAACCACAGGTCTCTGGAGGGAAGCCTCTTGGAGAGGGACCGGCGCGCTCTTGGGCACAGGATCCGTGGTCTTGGCTGGCCTCGGAGGGGCCCTGCAGGGCGCCTCCTTTGGGCTGGGCCCCTCCTGCTTGCTCGTCCTGTCCTGGGGACGGCCAGGCCCCTCCCCTGGAGGGAAGCCACGACCGAAGGCCCCATCCTGGCCTCCTCCCGCCTGGTGGCTGCTCTCTCCGTCTACGGAGGCCTTCTCCTGGGACTTGGCAGGCCTGAGCTTGCTCCGGAGGTTACAGATGTCCACTTGGTCTTCGCCCTGAGGTGGCTCTGTCCTGGGGGAAGGAGCTGGTTTTGGCCTAACCTGAGGTTTAGACTTCAAGAAAAGGTTCTGGGGAACGGCTTCTGGCTTCTCCTCCGGCGGGTCAGCTTTGGATCTGGAGATAGGTCGCAGGTTGGGCTTCTTCACTTCCTTGGCCAACACTTTGTGGCCGCACTCCAGCCCCATCTCATTCTTCAGCTGGAACAACTTGCTTTTGTCAGGTTTGGGCTCTGGTTTCCTGCTGTCCCGGGCTGGTGGGGCGTGTTTGGCTGGGATCATTGGCAAGATCACGCCAGGTGGCTTGGGTGAAGAACCCCTGAATTGCTCCATTCTCTGCCGCTCCTGCAGTTCCCCTTCTGACTTGATGATGGATTCTTTCCGGGGAGGGAGGCTGGGTTTCTCCTCCAGGTCAGGGTCTGAGATCTCCTCATAGCCTGCACACGAAGACGTGTCTGAAGACGCCTTCCTCAGCACCTCCTTACCGCCCTTCCAGTCTTTGGCCCACGGCGTCCCCGAGTCCCCCGTGCCGTGCGGGGCATCGGGCAGGGGCCGGGAGGGGCCGCTGGCTTCACCGCCCGAGCTGTTCTCCACTGCTGCCGCGTCCCCCAGCCGGAGCTGTGCCACCTCGCTGGGCAAGGGAGCCAGAAAGTTGGGTCTCGAGGCATTGCTAGTCTTCTTATACTTGTCAATGAAGGTTGCTGGGGCCCAGCCCTCCTTATCTTCGATCTGAATGTACCACCAACCGCTTAAGTTCTTCTCGATCACCTGAAAGGTAGGGCAGAGGAAAGCAGAGTAAGAACGGAGGCAGGGCCGGTGGCCAGGACAGGCCGGGAGAACCACATGCAACTGAGGTTCTAGAATCAGAGACTGTTTACATTCTGCAGGTTCCCAGACTGCATCTATGGGGGGGGGGACCATCCATGGACACTGCTGTGTATAAGAAACATCTTACACAGGGGTAGGTGCTTGTCTACTTTTGGATTCCCCCAAAAGCAGTCCTTGAGACATGAACTCTGGTGTAGGTAGTTAATTTGAGAGATGATTCCAGGAAGCCCAAGTGAGGGAAGGGAGAGCCACTTAGGAACAGGTTAAGGCTCTAGGCCAGTGGGGCTTAATCCAACACGACCCTATGAGAGACAGTGCAGAATCAGACACTGGGGGTGGGGACACTGACCTCCTGACTCCTGGTCCCCCCACCGCCTGGACATTAACCTTCCCCCTTCTGGGTGGTGCCCTCAGACGAGCATAGGAGGTGGGAAGTAGTCAGGGGGCTGGGATGCAGGGCAGGCCACCAGCAGTGTCTGCTAAAATTCTGAAGTGATTGAAGACAAACCCCCAGGACAGTCCAAACTAGCCTTGGTCATTACTCCTTTGGTTGAGCACCAGACAAAGAAGCTGGCTGGTGTTTACAGGCAAGGTGTATGAAAAATGTGCATCCTTAACTGTGGGAGTCACACCTGCTCATGTTTGGATACAGGGGAATCGATGCTGATGGAAGTGAAACAGCCCTCTCATCTCTTTCCCTCTGGGACACACATTCATTGACTGGAATGATGGGTAGAATCACTCGTATTATTTAAGATCTTATGTTTCCTGTCTCCTTTTGGCTTAGTACCGTGTGGCTGAATTCACATGGGTGAAAGGTGTACATGCTCCATATTATGGGCTGCACTGAGGCCCCCCAAATTCACGCGCTAAGCCCTAACCTCCCTGCCTTAGACTGTGACTATATTTGAAAACAGAACTTTTAAAGAGCTAATTAGGTTAAAATGGGGTCGCTGGGGTGGGGTCGTGAATTGTTATCCTTATAAGAGGAGATTAGGACACAGAACATCCAGCATGAGGGAAGACCACGTGTGAACCCAGGGAGGTGACCGGCTGTGAATCAAGGAGAGAGGCTAAACCTGACACCTTGATCTGGAACATCCAGCCTTAAGAATATGAGAAAATACACCTCTGCTGTTTAAACCAACCATCTGTGGTCTTTTGTGAGGGGAGCCGGAGCAAACTAATACACAGCAATACGTCAGCAGGCTCTGTGCACGGAAGAGCTGACTAATGATTACAACCGCCCGAGAAGACAGGGATTTTCACGCCATTGTACAGATGCAGAGCTGAGCCCCATGAGAGCTGAGAACTCGCAGAGGCTCACACAGAATGTCGGGGGTGGAGGTGGGAGTCAAAGGCTGGGGAGCAGGCTCCCGAGCCTGAGTCTTTACCACAACCCAGCCCTGCCCTGGAAAGTGGACGCTGCTCGGGGCGGAGGGAGGGAAATGGTGCTGAGGTGAGAAACCGCCTAGGCTGAGGGCTGTGGGTGCAGTTCTGCTGCTGCACTCTGCTGCCCAGACCAGAGAGGAAGGGCAGCTGCAGACCCAGTGCAGGAGCAGAGGCCGGGCTCGGTTCTGGCCGCCTGAACAGCCCCAGTCAGCCCCGGGCCTGAGACGCCACGCCACGAAACAGAGAGGAGGCGAAGAAGAAGCACGCCCACTCGCAGGGTTTCCATGATGGCCACAGAAGGGAGTGTGTGCAACAGGACTTGGTACAGAAGGGAAAATGCTACCTACTAGGAATTAAACTTCAGGGGAGAGCACTGCGAACGCAGCAGGCACGTGGCAGGCATATATTTAACACGTCCCACTGGAGTCTCTCCAGGAAAGGGTAATGAGAAATGGAAGTCGCCAGCACCTTATCAACACATGCTAGCTCTGGTGATGATTACAGGTGATTCTTGGCATACAAGTCATTGCTGGCACATCTGTAAATTTAACAACTCTAAGTATGTACATGAGCAAATGAAAACAGACAGTAATCAAATTAATACATCAGTGAGGATTTGTTAAGCTTACACTCTACCAGGTACCATGGCAGAAGCTGTAAACATTGGATGCAGCATGTGATCTCTTAGTTGCGGCCTGTGGGATCAAGTTCCCTGACCAGGGGTGGAACCCAGGCCCCCTGGACCCCCGTGAAGTCCCCATGTACCTGTGTTCTTACCCGTCATGGATGGTAGTTTCATTTACTAGAGATAAGTGAAGAGCTGCTGTGAATACAGACACATCTTGTTTTCCTGTGCCTCACTCGATTGTGTGCTACAGACATTGCATTTTTTTTTTTTTTAAACAAATTGAAGGTCTGTGGTAACCCCGCATTGAGCAACTCTATTGGTGCCATTTTTTCAACAGCAGTTGCTCCCTTCAAATCTTCCTGGCACATTTTGGTCATTCTCACCATAGGACTGAAAAGGTCAGTTTTCATTCCAATCCCAAAGAAGGGCAATGCCAAAGAATGTTCAAACTACTGTGCAGTTGTCCTCATCTCAGATGCTAGCAAGGTTATGCTCAAAATCCTTCAAGCTAGGCTTCATCCGCATGTGAGCTGAGAATTTCCAGATGGACAAGCTGGGTTTACAAAAGGCAGAGGAACCAAAGATCAATTTGCCAACGTTCCTTGGCTCATAGGGGAAGCTAGGGAATTCCAGGAAAATGCTGACTTCCTTGCCAGTGATCGTGCTGAAGCCCCCAGCTGCACGTGTGTGCGTGCCAGCGCTTAGTCGCTCAGTCCTGTCTGACTCTTTGCCGCCCTGTGGACTGTAGTCCACCAGGCTTCTCTGTCCACGGGGTTTCTCAGGCAAGGATACTGAACTGGGTTGCCATTTCCTCCTCCAAGGGATCTTCCACACCCAGGGTTTGAACCCGTGGCTCCTGTGTCTCTTGCATTACAGGCAGATTATTTACCTGGGGAGCCATCAGGGAAGCCTTTGACTCTGTGGATCACAACTAACTGTGGAAAATTCTTAAAGAGACGGGAACACCAAACCACCTTACCTGTTTCCTGAGAAAACTGTATACAGGTCAAGAAACAACAGTTAAAACTGAATATGAGACAACTGACTGGTTCAAAATTGGGAAAAGAGTATGACAAGGTTGTATACTGTCACCCTGCTTATTTAATTTATATGCAGGGTACATCATGCAAAATGCTGAGCTAGATGAAGCACAAGCTGGAATCAAGATTGCTGGGAGCAATATCAATCTCAGGTATGTAGATGATACCACTATAATGGCAGAAAGTGAAGAGAAACTAAAGAGTCTCTTGATGAGGGTGAAAGAGGAGAGTGAAAAAGCTGATTAAAATTCAACATTCAAAAAGCTAAGATGATGGCATCCAGTATCATCATTTCATGGCAAACAGGGAACAAATGGAAGCAGTTACAGATTTTATTTTCTTGGGCTCCAAAAGCACTGTGGATAGTGACTGCAGCCATGAAATTAAAAGACGCATGTTCTTTGGAAGGAAAGCTATGACAAACCTAGACAGCATATTAAAAAGCTGTATTAAAAAGCATATTAAAAAGTATTAAAAAACATCATGTTGCTAACGTCCATATAGTCAAAGCTATGGTTTTTCCAGTATTCATGTATGGATGTGAGAGTTGGACCATAAAGAAGACTGAGTGCTAAAGAACTGGTGCTTTCAAATTGTGGTGCTGGAGAGGATCTTGAGAATTGCTGGGACTGCAGGAAGGTCAAACCAGTCAATCCGAAAGGAAATCACCCTGCATATTCATTGGAAGGACTGATGTTGAAAGTGAAGCTCCAATGCTATGGCCACCTGATGCCAATAGCTGATTCATGAAAAGCCCCTGATGCTGGGAAAGACTGAAGGCAAGAGGAGAAGGGGACAGCAGAGGATGAGACGGTTAGATAGCATCATTGACTCAATGGACATATATCTGAGCAAACTCAAGGAGATAGTGAAGGACAAGGGAGCCTGGGGGGCTGCAGTCCACAGGGCTGCAAAGAGTTGGACAGGACTTAGTGACTGAATAACACCGTATTTCAGACTTTTTCATTGTTATCATATGAGTAATGGTGATCTGTGATCAGTGATCTTTGATGTCATTGTTGCAAAAAGATTATGACTCACTGAAGCTTCAGATGACTGTTAACATTTTTTTAGCAATTAAGTATTTTTTAAATTAAAGTCTGCACATTTTTTTAGACATAGAGCTTAATGGACTACAGTGTAGTGTCAACAAAACATATTTTTTGGGCTCCACTGTGTGAAGCCAAACATTTTTGGCTCCAAAATGTTTGGTAAATTTTGGTAAAGAAGGGAAAATGTTATCTACTAGTAATTAAACTTCAGGGGAGAGCACTGGGAATGCAGCAGGCACATGGCAAGCATATCTTTAACACGTCCCTGACTAGGGACTGAACCCACCGTCCCTAAAGTGGAAGCGTACAGCCCTAATCACTGGAGCACCGGGGAATTCCAAAATAATTTTTATATGCACTAGGAAACCAAAACATTCATGTGACTCACTTTATTGTAATTTGGCTTTATAGTGGAGGTCTGGAACTGAACCTGAAATATCTCCAAGGTTGGCTTGTAAAAGCAAATGCAAAATCACAAGAATGGAGATGAAAGAAAAGAGCATGGACTTTAAGAAAGGAGATATCTAAGCTCAAATCCCAGCTCCACCACTTTCTAGCTATGTAACGTTGGACATTTACCTAACTTCTCTTTGTCTCAAATACATGTATAAAATGGGCTGAACATATCATCAACTTCTTGGGACTTCTGTGAAGATTAGTTATCAAGGATATAAGGGACCTGGCACAGATAAGTGCCTGTATCATCATAACATCATTAGTAAAACATGCTTGAAGATACACAGACCACACAAAGAACCAAGGTATTCCTACAGCTATACTGCTAGAATACTGTGCTTCCAATAATGAATTCTGAACACTAAGATGGTG